CATATATATATATCTCCAATCAACTGTATAGCTATTTGATGGCTTTTTACTTGCCCCATATTTCTATATTTACAAATTTTACTCCCAATATTACTGTCCTGCTTTATCCAAGAAATGGATTTGGGGCTGCTTTCTTTAACCCAATTTAGGAGACAGTCCCAGGCCAGCCCTTGGGTGCACCCTACTAAAAAAAACAAGTTTGCTTCAAATTTGGCTCAAATTGTGGTAGTGGTCTTATTCTTGATGTTGGAACTAACAGGCCCTTCTCATTGTTTGTTTTGGGGACATGTTCTCTCTGCACATCCCAGGTTGGCCTTGTATACCTTCCTATGCCCTCTGATTTCTGGAATTACAGGTACCTGCCACAAACACCATCCCTCTTACACCCTTTCAAAGTAGGTCAAGCAGACCTGATATTTACTACATCCTCAGCCTTGAATGGTGTGGGGAGATGGCCCAGCGGTTAAGAGCACGGGCTGCTCTTCCACAGGAGGGGGGAGGCGAGGAGGAGAGGAGAGGAAAGGAAAGAAGGAAGGATGACCTCGAAGTTTAGAGCCTCCTGCCTCAGCTTCCGGGATTTCTGGCTGGATAGACTTGCCATTAGCTGAGCCCTTCCGATGGTTATTCTAGCTGGATAGGCAGCTGCAGGCCTTACTGGAGGGGCAGGAGCACGCTCGTGAGGTCATACTCCAAGTACCTGGGTGTGGCCTCTGGTGAGAGGTGTGGGCTCCGGTGAGAGGGACCAAGGAACAGGACTATGGGAAAGTTCAAGGCTCCCAAGCTATTCCTGCTCGTGTTGTGTTCGGAGTTCATATTCTTAGGTCTCATTCTGGGTTTTTCTGGTGCTCCCTCCCTAGAAGGTGAGTTTCGGCCCGTGAGGGGCTTAATCTTCAGCTGTAGGTCTTCCTCCGAGAGAACGCATTCGTGATACAGGTGAAAAAGTTTCGTGGCTACGTCACTCTTTAGTGATGTTTTCTGTCTCTGCAGTTTTGCAAACCCGAGGAGCATTTTGCCGGCCCCACGCAGAGAGAAAACTGCTGAGACACTTTTAAGAACCTCGGCGCCCGGGTACCACTGCCAGTTCATTCATTGGCCCATGCTGCCCCCTAGTGGCCACGCGCCACACCTGCCTTGATAGAGCCCAGGGTCCGCTGCTGCAAACTACAAGCCAGCCTGCATCCCAAGACCCACAAGCAGGAGGATTCATGTCCAAAGGAGTCCCGCACCACTTTATCAGCTTCTCTGTTTCTCGGTATCTGCTTTCATTCAGATATATTTTTGTTTGGGTGTTGGGATGGAAGCCAGGGTCTCAAAAACATGATTTATGTATTCAATCCACTGTACTATATCCCTAGTCACCTATATATACAGGACAGGGTCTCAGTACCTCTGGGTTCGAGCCCTAGAAACATCATCCCAGAATATAGGTGGAGACAGGGAAATTCAAAGCCAAGGCAATCGGCCGGGCGGTGGTGGCGCACGCCTTTAATCCCAGCACTTGGGAGGCAGAGGCAGGCGGATCTCTGTGAGTTCGAGACCAGCCTGGTCTACAAGAGCTAGTTCCAGGACAGGCTCCAAAACCACAGAGAAACCCTGTCTCGAAAAACCAAAAAAAAAAAAAAAAAAAAAAAAAAAAAAAAAAAAAAAAAAAAAAAAAAAAAAAAAAAAAAAAAAAAAAAAAAAAGAAAGAAAGAAAGCCAAGGCAATCTTGGACTATATAGGTATATAGGTAGATCAAGGCTAGCCTGGGACACATAAGATGCTATTTCACACAAATGAAACCCAAAAGGAAAACAACTCTTTCCCCACCAAAGAAAAACAAGATGCAAGGAAGGAAATCATGTTTAATTTGTTCTATGTGCAGCTTAGACGTTACAAAGCCCCAAAGTGATTTCTTTTCCTTTTTCTGTTTTATATTTTCTATTACTTGTGTATACATGTGTGCAAATGTGATCCCGCGGCATGTGTGTGTAAACCAGAGGACAGCCTATGGGAAATGGTTCTCTCCTTCCATGAGTGTCCCAGGGACAGAACTCAGGCTTGGTGGCATACACCTTTACTGGCTGAGTCATCTTGCCAGGCCTAACGTGAATTTCTCTGAAAGGAAGAGCGCTCTAGTGTGGCCTCATGGAGGCAGTGGTTATGGGTAGCCCCGCTGCAGGGCCTGAAGTGGGCGCTGGGAGGTACAAATGGGAGACAAAAGGGGTGTGCCCTTCCCTGGGCTCATCCTGGAAAGAAAGAGAAGGAGCCTGTGCAGGCTCAGCCCCAGTGAAGGCTGGAGGGAGGAGGCTCAGCCTCACCCTTGTTACCTAGCAAATCGAAGGCACTTAATCCGCGTCCACGGACCACTCACTAGAGCACCCAGGAGCGCCGGTAAGCTAGTGGGGGCTACGGGCCACCCTCCTGCTCCTCGACCCCATCCCTACTTCAGCATGTGTGCTACAGGCAGGGAGGAGGGGTGGCCAATATGTCAAGTTCCTAGACATTTATGTTTCTTTTTTCTTTTCGACACAGTCTCTGAATGAAGCCAAGGTTGATCTGGAATTCTATGAAGACCTGGCGGGCCTCAAGCTTCGCGTAGTTCTCCCAAGCACTAGGATCATAGATGTGAACTGCCAAACCCAGCTAATTAAAAAAAAAATACAGCATTTCTCTGTGTAGCCCTGGCTGCCTTCAAATGCAGAGATCGCCTGCCTTTGCCTCCCAAGTACTGGGATTAAAGGCACGTGTCACTACACCTGATTCCAGATTTTTATTGTGAGTGTGTGTATGTGTTTGTGCTTGAGTATATGTGCACCACATGCATGCAAGTGCCTGAAGAGGCCAGTAGAGGGCATTGTATCTCCTGGAATTGGAGTTACAAATCAAGCACTTAGGAGGCTCCGTGGAGATGCTGGGAGGTGAACCCTGGTCCTTCACAAGAGCAGCAGGTACTCTCAGCCACCAAGCTACACTCTTTCTTTTCATTTTTTTCGAGTCAGGGTTTTGTTGGGCAGCTTTGGCTGCCCTGAAACTAACCTGGTAGACCAGGCTGGCCTCGAACTCACAGAGATCCTCCTGCTTTGTGTCCAGCCCCAACATAAATTTCTTAATTTTCAAAATACACTTTCTACAGTAACTGGGCAGGCACACTTCAAACAAACACCTCGGTTCAATACACTGAGCTGGTGTCAGCACTTCCTGCTAGGGAGCTAAGCATCATGGTCAGAAGACGAGGGCACCATCCTGAGACCCGTCCCCACAAATAGGTCAGGGCCAGCACCAGAGAGCGGCCAGGGTCCCAGTCTTGTAGTGAGGGGCCTTCTGGTCAGCGGAGGAGGAGTTGAAAGTCTGGGGGGTGCTGTGTACTAGGAGGCCAAGACCCTGTGTCTCGGGCCCTTGTGTCTAGACACCGTGGGCTGAGCAGTGCACTGGTGCCCAGCGAGGCTCGAAAGGAACGGATGCAGGGAAGTTAGGCAGGGAAACCAAGTCAGGGCCGGGCCGGCCACAGGGCTTCTCAGAGGCACCCAGCAGCACTCCGCTTGATGTGGCAAGGCTTGCAGAAGAGGTGGTCATTCAGCGGGTAGCAGCCTTGGTCGGTGGGCTCCACAGAGAGGAGGACACTGCAGTCCTGAGGAGACAGAGCACAGGTGGGACCATGTCCTAGGGGACACTCGGCTCTTACGGTTCTGCATTTTGAGACAAGTTTTTTTTTCTTTTTTCTTCCTTCCTTCCTTCCTTCCTTCCTTCCTTCCTTCCTTCCTTCCTTCCTTCCTTTCTTTCTTTTCCGAGACAGGGTTTCTCTGTGTAGCCCTGGCTGTCCTGGAACTAGCTCTTGTAGACCAGGCTGGCCTCAAACTCACAGGGATCCGCCTGCCTCTGCCTCCAGAGTGCAGGGATTAAAGGCGAGGGCCACCACCGCCCGGCTTGAGACAGGATCTTAAAGCTGAAGCTAGTTTCAAACCATGCAGCCAAGGATGACTTCAAAGTCCCTGACTCTACACCCAGCTTGGCTTTGTTTTTCGTTTTTAATAATTTATAATTTATTTATTTTTATTTTATGTGCATATATTTTGCCTGCATGGATGTCTGCGTGAGGGTGTCAGGTCTCCTGGAACTGGAGTCACAGACAGCTGTGAGCTGCCATGTGGGTGTTGGGAATTGAACTCAGGACCTCTGGGTTAACCTGAGACATCTCTCCAGCCCCAGCTTTGTTCGTTTTGAGACAGGCTCTCTCCATGTACCCCAGGCTGTCCTGGAAAACTGAGTGTAACCCACGGTGGCCTGATCTTCCCACCTCAGCTTCCGGTACTGGGAATGACAGCTGTATGCCACTATGCCCAGCTTCAGTTTCCTCAGCTGAAATGGGGACAGTAAGTCATCTTCCAAGACTGTCATTAGGATTTAATAAGGCAATGTACACGACAGTCTTTTATAATTAAAAAGCACTTTCCACTTATAAAATATGGTCACCCTTCCATTAAGAGCAATAAAAAGCCCGGAGCACAGCGTCAGCAGCAAGGCGCAAGGATACCAAGGGCACTATGTGGAGCCGCACTTCTTTTTTCCTGGGAGAATTAGAACCAGTTCTGTGCTAGACTGCTATGGTGTGAGTTTTACATCTGTGAGATTTTTTATTTGTTTTTAGGGGTCAGTTTAAGATACAGTTTAGCCTAGGGGTGGTGGCTCATCTCATCGCTCAGGAGGCAGAAGCAGGGGGATCTCTGTGAGTGTGAGGCTAACCTGATCTACAGAGTGAGTCTGAGGACAGCCAGGGCCACACAGAGAAACCCTGTCGAAAGAGAGAGGGAGAGAGATAAGGAAGGAAGGAAGGAAGGAAGGAAGGAAGGAAGGAAGGAAGAAAGAAAGAAAAAAGATAGGATTTAAGCCAGGCGGTGGTGCACACCTTTAATCCCAGCACTCAGGAGGCAGAGGCAGGAGGATCTCTGTGAGTTTGAGGCCAGCCTGGTCTACAGAGCAAGTTCCAGGACAGGCTCCAAAGCTACAAAGAAACCATGTCTCAAAAAAAAAAAAAGTTTAATTCAGCCCCCGCTTGAGCCACCAGGCCTGGCTGGGCCTCACCTATCAGAATGTCACTTTAGAGTCCTGACTCACTAGGCAGCTTCGGTCAGAGTGACCGTGGACAGGAAGTGGGGGTTATTTGCTCAGTCAAGCTTTAGGAGCGCCTGGTACTGGTGGATTCCATCAGGGCTCCGGGACTAATAACAGCTCTGGAGCTTCCTCATCAGCTGGCCAGACCTTGAACTCTAACTGACAAAGTCAGATTACATATGAAGCAATCAACTTCTCTCCCCAAATCCTCTAGGCTCTCCATTATCTTCTCAGGGAATAAACGAAATGACCATCAGCTGATTGAGAGATCCTGCTCTGGGGTACTCCAGGAAGGTGACGTCATCACCATCGCCAGAGGGCAGAAAGCTCAGAGCCACAGGGCTGGCAGTGGAGTGAGGGGGTGGGCAGCTTGGAGCCTCATTGCTGGACCAAGTTCAGCGCCTGCAGGGTCCAGGCAGAAGGAAAGAGTGCAGCCCCAAGATTAAGAACTTCGCCAGGAGTGGTGGTACACGCCTTAAATCCCAGCACCTGGGAAGCAGAGGCAGGTGGAGCTCTGAGTTTGAGGCCAGCCTGGTCTACAAGAGCTAGTACCAGGACAGCCAGGGATACAGAGAGAAACTGCATCTTGAAAAACTAAAAAAAAAAAAAAAAAAAAAAAAAGGAAAAGAAAAAAACAAAAACAAAACAAACAAAAAACAAAACCAAAGAGGTCTTGGGCTGGAGGCTGGTTCAGGAGTTTCACACGCTCAATGCTTTCGCAGAGGACCCAGGTTTGATTCCCAGCCCCACATGGTGGCTCACAACCATCCACAACTCCAGGGCCAGGGGATCAGAGGCCCTTGTCAGGTCTCCACAGGCACCAACACACACGAGGTACAAACATACACATGCAGGCAAACCACTCATACACATAAACTAAATAAATAAATCTAAAAAAATAAAACGAAAAATAAAGCAGTAGCAGCTGACCCTTCTGATCATGTGACCACTGCCTGGCATTTCCTGCTGGGGCTGCAACAGAAGTTTCTAAGCTGCTCCTCACGGAAGCCCAGCCCCTCCCTTTCTTGGCTCCATCTCTTATCCTCCCCCTCCCAGGCACTCTTGCATCCGAGATGCACCTAGAAACCTCCACTCCCTCTAATCTTCAGAGTTTCACCTGCGGCAGTGGGTCACCCCCAACCTCCTCTCTCTCCCCTCTCTTCCTTCCTTGTGCGTGTGTGTGCGCACGTGTGTGCCCGTGCTCCTTGTGTGTGCACACAGTCAGAGAATAATCTGCTGTTCCCGAGGACCACCTGGAACTTCGTCCAGGAGGCTGGGCCAGCGACCACAGCTCCGGAGCCCCTCTTCCCAGCTCAGCCTCGCTGAGATCACGGACTGCGCCCGGCCTTTCAGAAGGGCTCTGGGGATCTGAACTCAGGTCCTCATGCCTTCAAGGTTTTCTCTCCTTCTGGATTTCCTTTCCCCCTATGCAACTGGCAAACCCATTGGGGAGGGTGTTTCATGTAATAGGCTAAATACCCCCTCCTCTACAAAAGTACTTTCTCCCCTTCTCTTGCACAGAAAGGGTCTCACTGCATGTTCCAGGCTGACCTCAAACTCAGGTTCTCTTGCCTCAGCCTCCCCTGGGCTGGGATTACAGTCATGGGCCACCACTTCCTGCTACAAGAATTATTTTCCTGGCTGGAGAGATGGCTCAGAGGTTAAGAGCACTGACTGTTCTTCCAGAGGTCCTGAGTTCAAATCCCAGCAACCACATGATGGCTCACAACCATCTATGAGATCCGGTGCCCTCTTCTGGCCTGCAGGTGTACATGCAGGCAGAACACTGTATACATAATAAATAAAATAAAATAAAAAAAGAATTATTTTCCTTGTAGTACCTCCTGGTTAGTCCTGGTTAGACTCTATCACAGCCTTTCCCCTCTAAGTGCCATTTAAATTGTTATTTACATTTTAATTTATTCATTGTGCACATATGTGTGGGCATGCTTGTGTTGCCTCGGGGCGTGTGGGTAAGAAAGAGGACAGCGTGCAGAAGTCGGTCCTTTCATTCCACTATGTGGCTCCCAGGGATCGAGGTTAGGTAGCCAGGCTTGGTGGCATGCACCTTTACCCACTAGGTCATCTCAATGGCTCTTAAACCCCATTTTTTTTTTTACCTTTTTTTTTTTTTTCTGGCACCTACAAAGGTTTAAGCCTGCCCAGGATCCCCTTTCTCTCTGTCTATGGTAGCCAAACCCTGTTCCATGAGACCACGTGTGGGGGTGCACACTTTATTCATAGCACCAGAGAGGCAGAGGCAGGGGAATCTCCATGAGTTTGAGGCCAGCCTGGTCTTTGTAGTGAGTTCTGGGGTAGCCATGGCTACACAGTTAGGCCCTGTCAGGGTGGGGTGAGGTAGGGAGACAGGACAGGACTGGACAGACAGACCTGTTTCATGGGTTCCGTCTTCTGGTTCTAGGGGCTGTCGATCCTAGCTCATCAGCTCCCAGGCGGCGATAGGCTCATAAGGTATGTTAGCATCAGCTGTCTATCTGACATGGTGCAGTTATCAGCGAGAGTCCCAGTCGGGGGACTGCCCAGAGCAGACTGGCCTGTGGCATGTCTCTGGGGGCATTCTCTTGATGGCTAATGGATAAAGAGGAGCCCAGCTCGCTGCAGGCAGTACCTTCCTGAGGCGGGGTGGGGGTGGGGGGTCCTGGGCTGTCTAAGAAATCTATCTGAACAGATGCCAGAGAGAGAGGGTTCGGGCCAGTAAGCAGCATTCCTCCGTGGCTTCTACTCCAGGCTCCTGCCTTGATTTCCCTTAACGATGGATTGTAACCCGTATAATAAATCTTTTTCTCAACCAGTTTGCTTTCGATGATGGCATTTATCACAGCAACAGACAATGACCCATGCCAGGCCAAGCAGGAACCTTCTTGGGATGGTATGCCCTTCCCACAACGGGGTCCACTCTCATTCTCTTGGGGCTTCTAACGACACAAACCTGAGCTATGTGTGCCCACGCGCTGTGCCAACCCTCAGAAAAGAAAGTAAAGGCGGGACCAGGAGGCAGTGATGGCTTCGGGGCTATCATTTGTCACCACCGTGAGCTAACACAGTCTCGCCACAGGAAGTGACGTGTGCTCACACTCTGACGGAGCCTCACGTGTTCTTATCCACCTCCCTGGCCTCTGCTGAGGGCAGTGAGCAAGGGAAGGGTGCCCCTGGCCTTCCCTGGCCACAGCACTTTACACCACCTCAGCTCCACTCACCTCACAACGGTAACAGTTTTCGTGGAAGTTCCTACCCATGCACTCAATTTTGTAGGCATCCTTCCCGTCGCTAGGGATGATGGGATTCTCACAGACGCTGCACACGGGGGCAAATTTCCTAGAGGGAGGGGGAAGCACATGCCAGGAATGTCAGCTACTCACACCGACGACAACAACATCAGCTGGCAGAAACTGGGTGGCTGCCGTTTCACCTCCCAGAGCCTCCACCTCCCACCCGGGGTTGCTAGGTGACAGAATCTGCAGGGACAGTCACAGATGTCCACCCTTCCTGGCAGAGGCGGGAAGAGGGACCAGTGTTATGACTCCAGTTTCTTAGAGTATAATTAGCCGAGGCCAGTGATTGATTGGGAAGTATCAGGGCTCAGGAGGGTGTTGGTGGACCTGGACATCCATTGTCTTGTACTTTGCTTAATTAAAAATTTTTTTAGCATACTTATTCAGTTGTATTTGGAGGTCCAAGGACAACAGGCAGGAGTCAGTTCTCTCCTTCTACCCGTGGGTCCCAGGGATTGAACTCAGGTTATCAGGCTTGACAGCAAACTCCTTTAATCCACCGAGTCACTCATCAGCCTTACTTGTCTATTTTTTGTTTATTTATTTTGGTTTTGCAAGACAGGGTTTCTCTGTGTCGCTTTGGCGCCTGTCCTGGAACTAGCTCTTGTAGACCAGGCTGGCCTCGAACTTACAGAGATCCGCCTGCTTCTGCCTCCCAAGTGCTAGGACTAAAGGTGTGCGCCACCACCGCCAGGCTGTCTACTTATTTTTTGAGACAGGGTCTCACTAGGTAGCCCTGGCTGGCCTGGAACTTGCTATGTAGACCAGGCTGGCCTCGAACTCACAGAGATCTGCCTGCCTCTGCCTTCTGAGTGCTGTTGTTTGCTTATCTTTTGAGACAGGGCCTTACTCTACACTCCAGGCTGACCTCAGACAGGCCGCACCAATCCTCCTGCCTCTGTCTTCACAGGCATGAACCACCATGCCCCATCTCTTCCTTTCAAATAGGGGGGCAAAGCACAAATCTCCTTTACTTCTGTATCCCCAGTTCCCAGGGGAGGGGGGCATAGCCTAGGATCCCAAGTCAAATCCTTTTCATTTTCTTGAGACAGGGTGTCATATAGGCCAGGCTAGCCTTGAACTTGCTAGGATAGCCAAGGATGACCTTAAGTTTCTGACCTCTTGCTTCTAGGTTTGGAGTGCTGGGATTCCAGGTGTGTGTCACCATGGTGTGTTTACGAGGTGCTAGGAATCCAACCCCTCCGGGCTTTGTGCAGGCAAGGCAGGGACTCTGCGAACTGGGTCACACCTCCAGCTCCCAACTCGAGTACTTAAACGGAAGCCTCATTGCACCTTGGTTACTGTGTGCCTCAGTTTCTACTTCCGCTAAAATGGACACTTCCACTGTACTCCCTGGCCATAGAAAGTGTGAGGATTGCATGGAGTACCTCAGACGATGAACCTGACGAGCGCAGGGACTCAGAGGCCTCCAGCAGACGCCCCACGGACTGTATGGGGAACCTAACAGGAAGATGGCTTCTCTCGGCACAGAAGTTGTACAAGTACTGGCCTGACCCCCAGTCCTGCCTGGTCTTCCCCACTGCCCCAGCCCCAATCTCCTCTCCCACCTGTAGAAGTCAGTCACGCAGTACACCTGGTTCTGGTTGTCCAACGCGAAGCTCTCATCCCCGATGCACCGGGCACAGGTAACACAGGTAAAGCAGGGTGGGTGGAAGGCCTTGCCCATGGCGCGGATGACGTGGTCTCGGACCACCTCTCCACACTTGCCGCACTTCTCCAGAGTGTCCTGGGTCAGAGAGCCACTGTCTGAGCCAACCCACAAACACGCCTACCCAGAGACAGGAGGGGTCTCTAGCCCCCCCCCCACGCCTACCCAGAGACAGGAGGGGTCTCTAGCCCCCTCAAACACGCCTACCCAGAGACAGGAGGGGTCTCTAGCCCCCTCAAACACGCCTACCCAGAGACAGGAGGGGTCTCTAGCCCCCACAAACACGCCTACCCAGAGACAGGAGGGGTCTCTAGCCCCCTCAAACATGCCTACCCCGAGACAGGAGGGGTCTCTAGCCCCCTCCTTGTCTTCATCTCTCCCGCCCTCTTTCCCTTCCTTCTTTCAGTACCAGGGATTGAATCTGGGGCCTTGTGAGTGCCGGGTGAGCACACTGCCACCGAACCACACGCTCAGTCTGAGAACTCCCTTAACAATTTTTCAAAAGGCTCTCACCCCCTTTTCTTGGTTACTTTTGAGACAGGATGTCATGTCACCCAGGTTGAAGTAAAAAATCACTATATAGCTGAGGATGACCTGGAACTCTTGAGCCTCTTGCCTCCACCCAAGTATTTAGATCTCAGGTGTTTGCTTCATACTCAGCTTTCTTAACAAATTCTTTTTGTTTGTTTTTTTTCTTCTGAGACAGGGTTTCACTGTTGTAGCTCTGGCTGTCCTGGAACTCTCTTTGTAGACCAGGCTGGCCTTAAACTCACAGAGACCCACCTACCTCTGCCTCCCAAGTACTGGGATTAAAGGCGTGCAACACCACACCCAGCTCTCTCTTTTTTTCCTGGGGGGAGGGGGGGGATGAGTTAACAAATTCTTAAGTGATCAACACAACTATTGATTATTGGTATCTAAATTCTTTGCTTATTATTATTATTTATTATTATTTTATTTTGAGACACGGTCTCGCTTTGTAGCTCAGGCTCTTTGAACTCTTCACCCTCCTTCCTCAGGTTCCTGAATGTTGGGAACACGTGAACACCACCATAGCTGGCTTATTATTCAGAAGTGGAGGAAGGAGGGTCAGGAGCGCAAGATCACCCTATGTTGTAGTCTCAAAACCCCCCAAAAGAGGCCAGGTGTATGGTGGTGCACGCCTTTAATCCCAGCTCTTGGGAGGCAGACGCAGGTGGATCTCTGTGAGTTTGAGTCCAGCCTGGTCTGGGACTTGAGAGTTCCAGGACAGTTGGGCTATTACACAGAGACACCCTGTCTTGAAAAAAACAAACAGACAAAACGCCGAAAAGAGGGGCTGGAGAGATGGCTCAGTGGTTAAGAGCATTGCTTGCTCTTCCAAAGGTCCTGAGTTCAATTCCCAGCAACCACATGGTGGCTCACGACCATCTGTAATAAGGTCTGGTGCCCTCTGCTGGCCTGCAGGCATACACACAGATAGAATATTGTATACATAACAAACAAATAAATAAATATTTAAAAAAAAAAAACGCCGAAAAGAACCTGGAAAAGGCAAGGAAATGCCTCCTCCCCCAGAGCCTACAGAGCTAGACGAGGAGGCGCCCTCATTTGCATATTAAATGCGCTGCATCAATCTACCAGGCCTGGGCTCCAGGGGGCGCTGTTGAGAGCTGGTGGGGGTCTTAGGAGGAGGGGCCTAAAGAAGTCTGTGTTACTGGGGACGTGGCTTAGTCCCTACGTCTTGTTCGCTGGCCAGGCGGGGAGTCAGTTCACACTGCTAGAGTCTCCTGCCAGGGTGCACTGGCTCACCACAGGCTCAAATTGGCAAGGTCATCTTGCTACGAGCTGGAATCTCTCAACCAAATAAATCTTTTTTTTCGTTACTGGGAAACGGACACAAGGATCATAGCAGCCGCAGGAACCGAGTCCCGCTCCAGTCCGTTTTCTCCATGCTGACTCTCAGCTGGATCCACAGCGCCCATTCTCTTAGGAATTCCGAAAGGAAAGAAATACCAGCGGCCGAGGTCCGCGTGTGGAACCTGACCTGGGGGCTGCCTGCAGGGGCGTACCTCGTAGCAGGGCTCGCACAGGGGGCGCCCGTCCTTCTGATAGAATCTCTGCCCAGCGAGCGGGCGGCGGCAGGTGCGGCAGGTGAAGCACTGGGCATGGTACTGCCTCTTCATGGCCTCGACAGCCAGTTCTTGAGGGGACACAGGCTTGTGACAGAAGCCGCAGACATCTGAGGGAGGGGAAACACAGGCAGTCACCAGCCCAGGAGGGCAGTACCCAATCACCGCCCAGAATACGATGCCCAGTGTGCCCAGGGCCCAGCCTCGAAGTCCTCCTCAACTGATACATATAGAAAGTCACGGGCTGGAGAGATGGCTCAGTGGTTAAGAGCACTGACTGCTCTTCCAGAGGTCCTGAGTTCAATTCCCAGCAACCATATGGTGGCTCACAGCCATCTATAATGAGACCTGGCGCCCCCTTCTGGCTTGCGGGCACATATGGAAGAAATGCTGTACACATAATAAAAAATAAATAAATAAAAAAAAAATTAAAGTCACGGTAAGCACCAGGAAGGATGGTGAACAGCGCTTTGACACAGTATTAGGTTGGGTCCTGTGACGCACACATTTTTGTCGTTGCCGTCTTCAGGACAGGGTCTCACTATGTAGCCCTGGTTGTCCTGGAACTTACAATGTAGAGCAGGCTGGCCTCGAACTTACAGAGATCTGTACAACTTTAATACCAGCCCAGCCTGGGCTACACGGCAAGACAAAAAACAGACAAACAAAGCCGCAGTGGCATATAGCTTCTCATCTCCTAGAGAGTGGAGGGGGTCTCGGTGATGCCAACACCCAGATGATCCCGATCCAAGGTCTCTTTGTAAAAACGGAAGTCACAAGAATTCTGAGAGAGGAGATGAGATGGCTCGTCGATTAAGAACACACACCGCCTTACAGAGGACCTGAGTTCAGTCCTCCCACCCCATCAGTCAGCTCACAACTGCCTGTAACTCCAGGGGTCCACTGCCCCCTCCTGGACTCCGAGGGTAATGCACTCATGAGCACAAATCCACTCCCAGAAACACACTCATACATGTAATTAGAAATAATAAAAATCGCTGGGCTTCATGGTGCACATTCCAGCACTTGGGAGGCAGGGGCAGGGAAATCTATGTGTTCGAGACCAGCCTGGTCAACAGAGCAAGTTCCAGGAAAGACAGGGCTACTCAGAGAAAACCCGTCTTGTAAAGCCAATAACAACAATAATAACAAAAAGCCAGGGCTACTCAGAGAAAACCTATCTTGTAAAGCCAACAACAAATAACAAATTGAGGGTGGTCTCAAACTCAAAGATCCTACCTCTGCCTCCTGAGTGCTGGCCTGGCTAAAAATAAACCTTAAGGAAAAAAAATACTAAGAGATTCTGATATTTGGTGTTGGGTTTGCACCTGTAATCCAGCACTCTGAAGGCTGGCAAACGTGGACAGAGTTCCTGGCTAGCCTGGGCTATGCTGTAAGACTGTACCTTAAAAAAAAAATCTAATTTGTGACAAAATCTATCATAACTCACAAGATAATTGACAAACTGAGAAAAACATTTGCCCCTGTGTCTCGCTGTGTGACCCAGGAAAGAGGACGTGGCTTTAGATGAAGCTGTGTCTTCAGTGCCTGGGGCACGATCTGAGTAAGCAGGTCACAGCTCAAACACAGCCCACAGTGCAGGAGGCGGCGGCTAGAAAACAACTCAGCCCTGCTGGGTGCGCTCGTAGGCTGGATGACTAAGGCAGGTGATTTGACAAAAAAAAAAAAAAAAAAAAAAAAAAAAAAAAAAAAAAACGCAAGACTCAGGGGAAAAAAGTACTTTATAGGGTACTTCCTCTTCTAGGAATTTACCCAAGAAAACCCTGCACATGGTGAGGTGAGCCAGTTAGGTGAGTCAGCTCGACGCAGTTAGGGCAAGAAACCACCTACAAATCCATCAGGAGGCAGCTGTGTAACCCACCACACCTAGGTTCAGCCTTTAGAAAAAGGGCGAGGAGCGGCTGCACAGCCTGATGGGAAACCTGCTCAGAGACACAGCAGACGGGATCCCCAGGCCCAAAGCTCAGCAGGCAAAATTAGAGACTTGTGGGTGTAGGTGTGTGTGTGTGTGTGTGTGTGCGCGCGCACACGCGCATGTGTTGGGGGGTGGGAGGTAATGGAGGAACAAAGTCTCACTCTGCACTCCCATCTGGCATGGAACTTGCTATGTAGACACAGCTGGCCTCAACCTCAGACATCCTCCCATTTTGGCTTCATAAGTGCTGGGATTAAAGGTGTGTACTACCATGGTTGGTTGACTTTGTGGGAGGTTTTTTTTTTTTTTTTTTTAAGATTTATTTATTATGTGTACAATATTCCTCCTGCATGTACACCTCTATGCCAGAAGAGGGCACCAGACCTCATTACAGATGGTTGAGAGCCATTATGTGGTTGCTGGGAATTGAACTCAGGACCTCTGGAAGAACAGCCAGTGTTCTTAACCTCTGAGCCATCTCTCCAGCCCTGTGGGAGTTTTTTTGTTTTTGTTTTTTTCAGACAATGTCTCCCGTAGCTCAGGGTAGCCCCCAACTTACTATGTAGCTGAGGATGACCTTAACTTTCTTTTTATTTCTAAAATATGTTTTATTACTTTATATGTATATGTATTTGCCTGCATGTGTATCTGTGTATGACATGCATATCTGGTGCCAGAAGAGGGAATCGGATCCCCTGGAACTGGAATAACAGTCATGAGTTGCCATGTGGGTGCTGGGAATTGAACCCCAGTAATTTAGAGGAGCAGCCAGTGCTCTTAACTGCTGAGCCATCTCTCCAGGCCCAATCTTAAACTTCTAATCCTCCTGCATCATACACATAGGCATGAAATAAACAAATGAAAAAAAGATGACTAAAAAACCCCTTAATTTTCATTGATTGGTTGTGTGTGTGTGTTGTGTGGAGATCACAGGGAACAGCCTCTGAGAGTCTGTTTCACCACGTGGGCCCCAGGGGCCGATGTGAAGTCATCAGTCTTGGAGACAAGCTGTGCTACCCATTCCCCACAATGAAAAAAGAATTAAAAAAAAAAAAAAAAGAAAGCTGAGCACAGTAGCTCTGTAATCCTAGCACTGAGGCTGAGGCAGGAGGACAGCCACGACTTTGAAGCCAACCTGACTTCACAGTGAGTTCCAAGCCAACTAGGGCCAGCTATAGAGTGAGGTCTCATCTCAAAAACACAGAGAGAGCCGGTAGTGGTGGCGCACACCGGTAGGATTTGCTGAAGGAGGCAGAGGCAGGAGGATCACGAGT